TCACCGGGGTGGGTATCGGGGATATGAAAATTCAGGGACTGAAAATTCAGTCACTTTTATAAAAGGGAGTAGCATTTGCATGGAACCTACTCACATCTTCCGTGTACTTTAAATCATCTCCAGATGACTTATAATACCTATATCCTGTCAATGCTGTTAAGGGTTGCTATGCCGTGGATTTTGGGGAGTGTAAGACTCTACATGCTTGGTATGGATGCAATTTTTAAAAAACATTCTCATCTGTGTTTGGTGGAATTCGGATGTGGAACCCTCCCCGTGTGATGGGACAGCTGACTGCTAGGTAATAGTATGTGATCCAGACTCGGCCAAAAAGGCATGTCCTCCAGGCTTCTGAATGAGGTGCTAACTTTAGGAGGAGCTCAGCACAGGGGAGAACTGGGGAATTATTTCAGACAGAGGAAGCAGAGAAAGAAGCATCCAGCTTCTAGGGGCAGCAGGGGCAGTCAGATGCATTGGTTGGTGGAATCAGTGAGGATTTCCTCACTGACTTGATTCAGAGGAGTAACTCTGACCTTGGTTTCATTTGCATGTCTGGTCTTTGACCCCCTTCTTTTTTATTATTATTTTTTCCTTTTATTTTTTTGGCAGTACTGGGGATTGAATCCTAGGACCCTGTCATTGAGCGACATCTTCAGTCCTTTTATTTTTTTAAGACAGGGTCCCTTTAAGTTGCTGAGGTGCCGCAGTCCGGCTGCAGCAAAATAAACGGGGGGCGGGGGGGGGGGGGGGGGGGGGGTGAGGAGCAACTTGTGTACATTGATACAGCAGGAGTGGGAGCCGTTTACTGCAGGACAGGAGGGGTATATATACATTCCACACAGCTTATCTTAATTAACATAAACTAGATACAGCAGTCAACCAATAAGGAATCTCCACACTTAATGGCTCGCTGGCGTTACTTCACAAACCACTCCCTCTGGCAAAATGCCAGGCGCCATCCAGACTTGTTTACAGACTCTAACACTGAGGTTGGCATCAAATTTGTGATCCTCCTGCCTCAGCCTCCTGAGCAATTGGGATGACAAGGGTCATCACCCTGGTGCGCCCAGCTTTGTTCATCTTTTACACGGAGTCCTCCAGCCTTCTCAGTGGCTGAAAGCCAATCAATATCTCATTCCTATATTTTCTGCTTAAATCTTATATCTAAGAACTCTGTCCCATGGAGATAGGAGAGAGTTTTCACCCAACCCTCTTTCTTTATTTATTAGTTTCTAGACTATTTATGCAAGTTTGTAACTCACCCCAAATAAGAAAATTTTAGTCCTGGGAGAAAAGCTAAAGATTGCCTCATGAAAGGATCAGCAAAGTTGTAAGGAAAAGCTTCCCAGAAGTGTTCCCCCTCCTGAAATCTAACTGGGCAGAACTGGGTCACATACTCACCTCTTAAGCCAATCGGTAGCAAGAGGACTTGGGTTGCTGGCATTGGCTTTTCCAAGGCAGTATTTCAGTTTTGGTTGGAAAAAAAAAAAAAGAAAGAATCACGCGGGCCTGGGGATGTGGCTCAAGCGGTAGCACGCTTGCCTGGCATGCGTGCGGCCCGGGTTCGATCCTCAGCACTACATACAAACAAAGATGTGTCCGCTGAAAACTAAAAAATAAATATTAAAAAAATTCTCTCTCTCTCTCACTCTCAAAAAAAAAAAAAAAAAGAATCACCTCAAATGCTTTTTATTTCTTTCATCTTATGTTTTGCAGTACTGGGGATTGAACCCAGGACCCCACACATTTTAGGCAAACCTTCTACCAATGAGCCACATCCCTAGCCCTTTTAATTTTATTTTAAGCCAGGGTCTCCCTAAATTGCCCAGGCTGGCCTTGAATTTGTGATCCTCCTACCTCAATCTCCCAAATAGCTGGGATTACAGGTATGGGCCACCATACCCAGCTGGGGATGCTTTAAAAAATACCAAAGTGGGGTTCCCACTCTCAGAGGCCAGATTTTATTGGTCTGGCTGACCTTCTTCTGGTAGTGAAATTTTTAAAGCTTCCCAGGTGCTTTTAATAGCCCATCCAGTGCATCGAGTCAGTGACCTGATCCAGTCCCCACCCCTCCCCATCTTAACCTGCCAATACTGAGGTCGAAGGAGATGTTAAGTAATCTGCCCAATCAACAGCAAAACAGAAATAAGAAAACCACTCACACAAATGACATTTAAGAAGACAAGTTTTTTGTTTTTGTGTTTTTTCCTTCTCCAGAATATGCATGTGAGTACTGTTAAATAAAATTCATTGGGGGAGAGTTGTTTTGGACTAAACTCTTGAACTAGACTCCAACAGACCAGAGCAAACCAGAATGAAGTTACTTGTGCTTGTTAGGTGACATGTGATCAAAATGAACTTTAAAGTGGTCCAGTTTTCCAAAAACAAACAAGTAGAAAACAACCAGGAGCAACCAATTCAAAAGGTCCAAAATCGGCATGCTAAGAATGTCCCTTTTCCTTTTCTTTCTTTCTACTACTGGGCAATATCCCCAGCCCTTTTCTTTTTTTATTTTGAGACAGAGTCTTGCAAAGTTATAGTCTGACCTCGAATGTGCAATCCTCCTGCCTCAGCCTCCCACCTGAGTAGCTGGATCATAGGTATGTGCCCCTTGGCCCAGCCCCTTTGGCTTTAATCCTTCATATCTGTCCATGTGCTGTGGCTATAATAAAATGCCTAGATAATGTACAAAGAAAAGAGATTTATTCCACTCACAGTTTTGGAGGCTGAAAGTCCAAGACTAGGTATCCCCATTGGTGAGGGTCAAATGGCAGATAACATCATGGTGGAAAAGGAAGCCAGAGGAAGATTCAAGAGTCCCGCTTGCTGTTTTAGAATAACTCATTCTTGCAGGAAGAGCTAATGCACTCTACAAGACTAGTATCAATCCCTTCTCAGGGTTGTAACCAGGTGACCTAGTTAGTTACTTTGAACTAAGCCCCACTACTTAATTGTCCCAGCCCTTCCCAACACCACCACAGTGTGCACCAGTTTTCAGACATGTGACCTCTTAGGAACACACTCAGGTCACATCCAAACCATGATACCCTCTAAGGAAAGTACCTGCAAAATTAAAAATTCGCATCTTTCTTGTCCCTTGTTTCTGTTTTCTTCATTTTTTCCTGTTTAAAACTCACTCCTTCGGCTCAGCTTATAGTAGCACCCTTCTGTTTTATAGATGGGATGCTGTTTGGTTCATGAATTGCTAATAAAAGCTAAGTAGATCATTAAACTCAATTTATTGAAATTTTGTTTTCAGACAGCACCCATTGTTTTTCTTAGAATGTGAAGTCCTGGGAAGTTCAAAGACTGAGAAGTATCACAAGGTGTCCACCACACCCATACTTGCTCAGTGGCAAGACCAGTTAGATCCCTGCAATTTGAGTTGGAAGGAGAGGTATATGGGTTAGAACAAAAGTGACTTCACCCTGGCTTGAATGTACCGGTTTATCTTAAGATAGTATTAAAGACTCAGGTGGATCCCTGGAGCCAGGGTCTGATTGTGAATTCCTACCTATGATTCTAGTGGTTTTACCTATTTATGAGATGCTGTGAAACCCAGCAGGAAAAACTAGCCAGGCTCACTCAGGGGCAATCCTGGCAATTATGACTCAAGATGGCTGCAGTCAGTCAAGCTGTCTATATACAAAACTGAACAGCGGATGCACAAAGCATTTTATGAGAACTTATTCCAATCTTGTTTGAATTTTTCGGCTCAAGGGGGTGATGTCATCAAGCTCCTAATGCAAAGAGTCCTTAGTAATTCCTTATCATGGTGGTTGAATGAAGCCCCAGCATCATAACCTCATCATCAATATGAAAGAAGAACCACATAGGTGGAGAATGTTAGAGGGAAGGGGAGAGTGCAGAGGTAAGGGGCCGGGTATTTTTCATGTTTTATTGTGTTTAGTTCTCACAGTCATCTTTGAGTAGATGTTACTGGAGGAGGAGAGAAGCAATCTGCCTAAGGCTAAGTACACTAGTGACCTGAGCAACCAGCATTCAAGTTGGTCTTGGAGGAAGGAGAAAGCAGAGGCGCTGTTGTCCCAAATGCTTTCTGACCCCACTTTCCTGGATCCCCAGGCAGGAGCCAAGGGTGCAGTCATAGCTACACTGGTATATCTGCCCTGTGTCCTACTCTGTTCCTAAATCAGGTGACAATGATATAATTGGATACAAGGAATACAGCTCCCTCTGAATCCAACTGCTGGTCTCCTCTAGTATTTTTATCTTTTTCATTAGGTTAAAAAAAAACTTTATTATGGACATTATACACACTCATTATTGGAAAATACAGATCAGCCAAAGAGAAAAATGGCCCAGCATCCCCTTACCTCAGGAAAAACACTACACTTTGGGTCCCAATTCTCCTAAGGATTTCAGATCAACAGGACGCCGTTCTGTTTGTTAATTATCCCTTTCCAATTTGCACGTATTAAGCAACCCGAAGTTTATTTTTATTATTATTTTTGTTTGCTTGTTTACACTCTGGAATCGCTTCCTGGAGGTTGGTCCTCTAAATTTTGCTGGGCAAGGGACAAGGATTCGGGAAATAGGTGGGTGGGAGTTCTGTTTGGGGTTTTCACGTCCTAATATTTATCTCTCGTCCTTGGGACCGAAAGGTACTGCGAGCCTTTTCTCCTGTGGGCATTTCTATTCAAGAACCGCGCCTTCATTTTTTTTTTTTGCTTCAGCTCTGGCCGCTTTCTGCTCCTTTGCACGTAGGTGTCTGAACCCTGGGGACAGCTGGCCTCAGCCACCAGACCTTAATTTGTAATGACATCTGGCGGCTGCAGGGGGTGGTCTTGCCTCTCGGGCTCCGTCACTCTGGAACCCCCTCGGTGTCCGAGCGCGCGAGGCTGGCTGTAGGGAGGGAGGGAGGGAGGGAGGATGGCGGCCCGCACCTCCGGTAGCCTAGCAACCGGCGCCTTAGCAACGGAGAGGGGGCGGGGCCGCGGGAGGAAGTCGGAAGCGGGAAGCCAAATCTCGCGAGAATTGGGTGGCGCGCGAACTCTGAGCGACAGGGTCCGAGAGGGGGGTCCAGTGGCGGCAAGAGGCTTGAAGGGGTTGAGGGACGACGGCGGCGGCGGCGGCCCCGGTCACCTGAGCCTCCCGGCCATGGAGGCCCCAGCGCCCAAGCAGCAGCAGCAGCCCGCGACAGTCAAGATCAGGAACCTGCCCTGGTAGGAGGCGGCCCGGCCGCCGCGGAGGGAAGCGGTCGGCCGCGGGGTGCTGGTTAGGGCTGATGGCAGTTTAGGGACTTCGGAGTGGGATGGTTGCACCCCGTTCTGACCCTGCCGACCTGGGCCCTCCACCGCCCTTGCCTGGCCCCGGTTCCCACCGTTCTATTTCGAACTCTTGCCGGGCTCCCCCGTGGCCCCCATCCTGTCCCCGCAAACGGAAAGTGGCTTTCGCTCCTGGGAACAGCCCGAGGGCTCCCATCCTGCCACTGAAATGCCCTCTTCCCTCCTGCCGGAACCTTCAGTGCCACCGACTCTGTTATTCGCTTTACCGAACGACGTCACCCTCTTGCACGTTTGATCTTTTAGAAAGGCCCCATAAGGTAGATGCTGTTTGCATTCAAATTTTACTTGTGAAGAAAGTGCATTTTAGAAAAGTTAGAAGACGGGCTTGGGTTTGCATCCAGATTGTCTGGACTCCGAACTTGCATTCTTCATCCTCCCATTGCAACGACTACATCTTAGTGATGCTTTAAAGACATTGATGGGATTTGGCTTGATTTAGAAAAACTCCAGGCTCTTCTTGTGTAATAACCAGTTAACTTTGTTATACTGTAAGCCACATAACATAAAATACATAGTTGTGACCATTTTAATATATAGTTTAGTGGCATTAAGTATGTCCAGAATATAGTCGTCCCACTATCTCCTTCCAAATATTTTCATTACCCCACATGGAAACCCTATACTTGTTGGCACTCACTTCTCATTATCCCCTCCTCTCCCACCACAGGCAATCACTAATCTACTTCCTGTCTCTATGGATTGGCCTGTTTGGGACATTTCATATAAGTAGAACTATACAATATGTGACCTTTTGTGTCTGGCTTCTTTCACTTAGCATAATGTTTTTAGAGTTCGTCCTTTATTCCCTTTTTTTATATTTATTTTTTAGATGTAGTTGAACACAATACCTTTATTTTATTTATTTACTAATTTTTATGTGGTGCTGAGGATCAAACCCAGGGCCTCGCACATGGTAGGTGAACACTCTCCAGCTGAGCCACAACCCCAGCCCCATCCTTCATTCCTTTTTATGACCAAATCATATTTCATGGCATGCATAGACCACATTTTATTTATCTATTCATCTGTTGATGAATAGATATATTCAGATTCATTTTGAATATATTTCAAATTCATTTCGAAGTGGAAGGTGTCCATCCAGGGGGAGATTATAGGCATATGGCTGAAAAGATGAGATTAGAGCTGTTTTCAACCTCAGCACTATTGACATTTGGGGCCAGATTCAGGGATGCCAGGAGGGTTTGGACAGCATAGCTGTACTGTGCATGGTAGGATGTTTAGCAGTGTCCCTAGCACCTACCCATGAGATTCCATTAGCCCCCTCCACCAGCTATAATAATTAAAAGTGTCTGCAGATGTCACCAAATGTTCTCCAGCAGATAAAACTGCCTCTGGTTGAAAAACTGTGGTCTGTATTCAAACTTAAAGGATTTGTTTCTTTCCTCTTTGAATTGGGATATGAAAGACTTCTTTTGCACATAATATAATATTCTTGTATTTATATATGTTGTAATGTGCTAAATTACATTTCAGGGTTGAAAAATACCGGCCACAGACACTGAATGATCTCATTTCTCATCAGGACATTCTAAGTACCAGTAAGTATCCATGTGTCAATTGCTGTCCCACTTGTAGAACCTATGTAAATTTCTTGGTGATACTGTCTCTGCTGAGTAATCACTTTAAAGAAACTGTTTGAGCTTTCTAAGGTGTGGCTTTACAGTTTTTCTTACCTGCATCTGCCTTTGATTGGGACATTGCATTAGGTTGAAGTGCATTCAGCCCAAGTCAGAGAACCACAGTGAATGAAGCAGCTTCCAAAGACTGATGGCATCTCTCTTTCTTTCTGATCCTCAGTTCAGAAATTCATCAGTGAAGACCGACTGCCACACCTGCTTCTCTACGGCCCTCCAGGGACAGGAAAGACATCCACCATCCTAGCCTGTGCTAAACAGCTATACAAAGACAAAGAATTTGGCTCCATGGTCCTGGAGGTAAATAGGATTATTCTTACTCTACAAATGTCTAAGGACTCTAGCCTCTTAACTTTAGTTCTGCTAATTTTACTTTGAAAGTAAGCTGCCCACTGGCAGTTGGGAGAGATTTGGGTCTGGAATAAGGTGTTTCACTTTACCTTTTGCAGTAGTGGTCTGCATTGGCATTGGTCAACTCCAGGGCAGTTGCCTAGGTGTTTTTCTTTCTTGTTGCCAGCTTTTACCAAATTTTCCTTGATGGCACTATCACTTCCTATCTGCTGCGTGGCCCTTCTTAACTGTTCTCCCCATTCCACTGCCCTGTTCATGCTCTGAAGATTGAGCTGTGCTAACTATAAGCTCCCTTGCTCTTTGGCTCCTGGTTGGCTTTGGCTGAAATGGCCAGTGTCAGAGGACAAGAAAATGATGGCTGGACCTATCCCCAGGGTTAACAGCAGGCAGCAGCCCCCACTTGCAGTCCCATCCCATGGTAAAGGCAGCCTCACAGCCTTCTCCAGGGACTTCCAGCCCCTGCCTCCTCCAACACCTTCAGGCTTGGGGGTGATAACAGGTACTACAGAGCCCTGGGAAGCCCATACCCCACCAACACATTTTAAGACATCTCTTCGTTTAATTCTCATTAATTGTGGCATACTCAAATGCCATCTGAATATTGTGGGGACTTTGACTGATGCATGTAGATCACAGAAATCTAAAGATTTTCTTTTGCAAGGAAAACTTTTGACTTACTCTTTAGACATGGGTCTCAGAACCTCACTGCTGCCACTGGTCCTACCTCAGTACATTTACAATGTGGTGACCCTGAGTTCTGGGTTATGACAGATAAAATTAGCATTGTTCTGTTCATTCCAGACATCCTCTTTCCTAGCTTGCGCTAGACAGTTATACAGAGATACAGATGCAGTTATACAAAGATCAGCTCCGTGGTCTTGGAGGTAAATAGGATTGTTCTTACTCTACACATAACTAAGGACTTCACAGGTGCTGTTCAGGGTAACCAGGACAATTTTTTACTTCCCAAATTTGGGTAGAAAGATCGTCCTCAAAGGGTGAGAGAAAAATTGCCTTTCAGAATATAATGTGATGATTAAATTTTTAGTATAACTGTCATCTTTAAAAAAAAAAAAAAAAAAGATTCTCTCTTAGCCATCATTAGCCTGGAGAACTAGTTTGCTGAACTGGATTGATGAAAAGATGTATTAAAACCAAGAATTCATATAGTAAACAATGTGTTTTTCACTGTGGCTTCTCTCCTCCACATTTAGCTGAATGCTTCCGATGACCGAGGAATAGATATTGTTCGGGGGCCAATCCTGAGCTTTGCCAGCACAAGGACAATATTTAAGTAAGACTCATTTGTGTAATTTCTCTCCCTAGAAATTAAAAAAAATATATTTTTAAAATTGCCAATGGATCTTTACTTTATTTATTTATATGTGGTGCTGAGAATCCAACCCAGTGCCTCACCCATGCTAGGCAAGCACTCCATCACTGAGATGATACGGCTTAATTTTATTATTATTATTTTTTAATCTTTCAGCTTAAAAAGGCAAAAATGACTTTGTCAAAGCAGGCTTAAAAAAAGAGAGAGAAAGTTCAGGGGGTGTGGTAAGAAATGTCATGAAGCTTGTGTTACGATGAAATATTCTCTAAACTTGCATTAGCAGTTTGACTCTGGGAAGCATGGACTTTATTTTGATAGTTATCTGAGGACTGATTGCATCCTAAGTCTAGATGAGCGGGTTTGAATTTTAGCAAAAATAAATTGAGATTAAAATGAACCAGGATAGTGGTTTGAAAAAGAAGAAAAAGGTGAAGAGGCTGGGGCGTACCTCAAGGAGATGGAAGACGCAGATGGCGGGCCAGGTGGGGCTCTGCAGAGCTCAGGCGTAGCAGGTGCGAGGCCCTGGGTTCCATCTCCAGCCCCAGGATGGACAGAACAAATGGAGGGGGGGGGTGTGCAAGGAAGGCGCAGGCACAGAAGCACAGGCAAGTACGGGTTAGACCTCGGTCCCCAGTACGGGTTGAAGGATCTAGGGGCGTTTCCTGTCTGTGTGACCACACGGCGCAGCTTTGGTCAGGGTTCTGGGAGAGCTGGATTTCAAGAGCAGGCCTGAGACACAAATGTGAAAATGCAGGTTTGGGCCTGGGTGTTGAAGAGACTGGAGAGTCCTGTAGACGTGCCGTTTGTCTTTGTAGGAAAGGGTTTAAGCTAGTGATCTTGGATGAAGCTGATGCCATGACGCAGGATGCCCAGAATGCCTTGAGAAGAGGTAAGAAGAGCTGCTAGCATGTGTCCGCCCATGAGCGCCCTGAGAGGAGAGTTAGGAGTTCTGGACGCGAGATGCCTGTATGGCTTATTTTCCATCTTGTTCATCTTCTGGTCCAGAGGCTCCTTTGGGTATCTTTCTCCATGAACCCCGTGATCCGGACAAAATACCCTGTAGCCAGGGTGTCCCATTGCAGCAGCTTAAGGACATAAGCCCAGTTAGGACTTAAGTATGACCAAGTCACTGGTGCTTTGTCCTCCTTTGTGGCTGGATTCAATTTTAGGTTGGGAATTTGAATCACTTGATGGTTCAAATCAAATTTCTAAACTATGGCCCTTCTGCCCTCCACACCGTTAGATGCAAATCAGCCAGGAGAAGGATGTCTAGAGTGTGCGCAGAAAGCTGCCTGGCTGCTTGCCGAGCTGGGCAGGAGCGGGAGAATGCTGCTGTCAGTCTCCAGGAGCCAGTGCGTTATTTCTTTGTAGCAAGTTCTGGGGGAGGAGGAGGCAGTTGCTGTCTTCGGTCCTGGAAGCTCTGGCAGCCTTTCTTCAGCATCGTGTTCCGCAGAGTGACTGTCAGTCTGAGCAGATCCCTATGTGGGAACACAGGGTCCCTGCAGAACGATACTGGTGTCTAAGCATCGCTAGGCTCAGGTTGCTGCTCCCTCGGAGCGCTCTGAGGCCTGCAGATAAGGTCTACGGGGAAGTGTGCAAAAAGCCAGTCCCCCCTCCAGCCCACCATGCCACTTCATGTGGAGGGCAGGCTCTCATGTACTGGGCTCAGATCTTAAGGGATAAGTTGCCAAGGTGCTGGAATCATGGTAAATCATAAACCCTGACACGTTCAGTAGCTTTTGAAAGAAGATCTCTGGTCCCAAACACCACACCCCACTGTTTCCTTGCAGGTAACTCCCCCACTTGCATGTAGTGTTGACTATTCCCGTGCCCTCCTGGGACCCAAGAAAAGGCCAGGGTTTTAGGTCCTTTGAAGAATTGGAATGGCCTTTGACCTAAGGTGGTTTTATTTTTCTTCACTAGTGATTGAGAAATTCACTGAAAATACCAGATTTTGCCTCATCTGTAACTATTTGTCCAAGATCATCCCCGCCTTGCAGTCTCGGTGTACGAGGTTCCGGTTTGGTCCCCTGACACCTGAACTCATGGTTCCCCGCCTGGAACATGTTGTAGAAGAAGAGAAGTGAGTACATTGTAAAGCAGGAAAGTCGAGATCGTGGGATTGAGTGGAGCACAGGTGGGACCCTGGCTCGCTGGCTGGTGACGTTGTAAATGACTTAGCAGAACTCCTGGCTCGGGGGAAGCATCGGGGCCACCAGCTGCTGTCGTTTTCTCTGATATCTCTTGGACATTCTTCCTCATAAAACTCATTTGACTCTTCTTGATTCCATCCTCCTCCCCTGGAAGCTGTCCCAATTTCCTCCTCCTCTGTCGCTGTAAACTGCATGCTGCCGAGTCCCTTCTGCAGGTGCTGCCAGCCTCTCCTGACTAGAAGGCAAAGTTCTGAGGCATTCTGTTCTGAATGATCAGACGTCAAGCCAGGAGCCAACCCAAGCAGCTGCTTATTCTGAAGGATGTGTTTGGGCTCTGTCCCCATGGTCCCACAAGGGCTCTTTCTTCTCGGGGTGCTCACTGTAAGATGGCTTGGACTTGTCTTTCCAGATCTGGGGTAGGCTGAAACTAATATGAAGTCCCTGTGCCTAGGAACCAGAGTGATTTCTTGGTTTTGATCAGGAGAGTACTGTTGACTCTTTTTTTTTTTTCTTTCTTTCTTTGGGGGCCCTGATAATGTGAGGCCATCTTGTTCCCTTGGGTGAATGCTTGTGCTGTCCAGGGACGCATAAATCCCCTGCCTGTTGACTTTCAGAGTCGATATAAGTGAAGATGGGATGAAAGCACTTGTGACTCTCTCCAGCGGAGATATGCGAAGGGCTCTGAATATTTTGCAGGTATGGTTTTCCTCAAAGTAAATCTCAAGTCATTGCTTCAAAATAACTTTTTGGGAAAGGCAACAGGACAATCAATCTGTAGCTTCAGAAATCTAGAAATGGTAAGACAGGTCTCACAATGTCCTAGACCTCCTTACTGTTTGTATTTGGCTAATTGAAAGAATCAGTCAAGCCAGATACAGTGGCACATGCCTGTAATCCCAGCAACTGGGGCGGCTGAGGCTGGAGGATCGCAAGTTGGAGGGCAGCCTAGGAAACTTAGTGAGACCCTATCTCAAAAAAATAAAGAAAGGCTGGGGGTGTAGCTCAGCGGTAGAGCACCCTGGGTTCAATCCCCAGTACTGCAAAAACAAGCAAACAAAAGAAGTATTTGTCACAAACAAGGCAGGGGCAGGAAGGGGTTCTACAGCTCTAATAGCAACAAGTGGCCAGCTCCTGGAATGAGGCTAGCTCTGACCACTGTGGGAAATGGCAGGGCCCAAGTTGTCCTGGGCCCTGGTCATATTGCTGCTGCAGTAAGTTCTTCTTGGCCACCTGCAGGTTAGCAGCTGCTGACAGCCTCAAAGATCTCCCCCTCTGTCTGCAGAGCACCAATATGGCCTTCGGGAAGGTGACAGAGGAGACTGTCTACACCTGCACAGGGCACCCGCTCAAGTCAGATATCGCCAATATTCTGGACTGGATGTTGAATCAGGACTTCACCACAGCCTACAGAAGTACCCTTTCTCGTGTGCTCCACTATGGTTAGGGCCTGCGAGGAGCCCCCATAGCTCAGGCTGCAGCTAGCATCTGCACCTTGCTAGCAGAGGACGTCTGGCTGCATGTGACTGGCCAGCCTGTTGTGGGAGCAGGCGTCTGTAGGCACAGCGGGTGCTTGTCTTTAACATCCCACAGATTCCCGAACAGCTCTGGCCTGGGTCAGGCTTGAAGCAGTGTGGCTCACAGACAGGAGGGAAATAGTCCTGGGGAAGAAGATGCAAGGGTTTTAAAGCAGTCAGTGTTGGTGCTTGTTTTGCTGTAAATCTAAAACCTCAGGATAGTGATATGAATGCATTTTGTTCTGTTCTCTACTGGAAGGAAAAACAACTGGGCCTTGTAGAGAGCACTTATTGAAGGTAAAATGTAGGAGAAAGAATTGGAGCCTAACACGTGGCTAGGAATTGGAAGAGAAGCAGCCATGTTGAGATTAAAGCCATCAGGGTTGGGATTCAAAATCCTCTGCAGTGTGTTCTGGAACTTGTTCTCTGCCTTGACTGCACCTCCCCAGATATCATGGAGTTGAAAACTCTGAAGGGTTTGGCGTTGCATGACATCCTGACCGAGATTCACTTATTTGTTCACAGAGGTAACCTGCTTTGTTCCCTGGCTAAAAAGCTGTGGCAGTCACTCCCTTGGGTTTCTGGTGGTTACAGAGGGAGCTCACCAGGCTCTATCCTTCTTTTTTTTTTTGTACCAGGGATTGAACTTGGGGGTGCTTAACCACTAAGCCATATCACTAGCCCTTTTTGTATTTTATTTAGAGATAGGGTCTCCCTGAGTTGCTTAGGGCTTCACCAAAGTGCTGAGGCTGGCTTTGAACTTGAGATCCTCCTGCTTCAGCCGCCTGAGTCACTGGGATGACAGGTGTGCGCCACTGTGCCCTGCACCAGGCTTTATTCTTGAAACAAAGAAACAAGGAGGAAGTATTATAAACCTGACCCTCAATTTTTATTAGTTTTGTCTTGCTGTTTAAAATTTTGTTTCAAAAACCTTGTAATCTCTGGAATTGCTGGGTGAATAGGAAAAAACTCCTGAAGACTAACTTTACTTCTTCCAGGGGTTTGTGTTTTACAGCAGTAAGTAGAATGTTTTAATTCACATTTCTACAAGAATACTTACCCTGAGGAGAGGGGGAGGGGAGTCTGTCTTAATGTCAGCCAAAGCAATCTTAAGGACCCATCTCTAGCCCCATGCTTGCTGGAACCTCTGTAGAGTGGATTCTCAGCCTGGGCAGCACCTAGGGATCATGCCAGGCATTGAGTCAGCTCTGGGGAGGAGCTGGGTGCGGCATTTTTTCAGGCTCCTGTGTGATCCCCTGTTCAGTGGTTTAGAGCTCTTCCCTCCTCAGTCTCCGCAGATGGGAGGCCACCTGGGTCGGGGACTGGGCTGGCCTGTGTACAGCCAGCTGCCGTGGGTGTTCCTGAAACTGAGAACTCGGCTCTCCAGTTACCTTGTAGAGCCACCCAAAAAAAGCAGTGTTGCTGTCCCTTCTGTGTTCATCTTGTCACTGTGGGATCTCATATACATACTCACACACACACACTTTTTTAAACTACACTATTAAGAATTACAAAATAGTGAATGAAAAGTATGAAACTCCACCATTTTTACTTTCGTAGACATCTGGGAACTTGTGATCAGTCTGAGGCCTCAGAAGTCCACTCTTACTATTTGATGTTTAAACTCATACTTGTCGGGAGAAGTTCAGTGTTAAAAGTATGAGTTTAAACACATACTTTTCCTCTGGGTTTTTTCCTTTTGGGGTGGTGGTAGTAGGGGGAGCCCATGCTCATTTGATTTTTTTTTTTCCCTCAGTGGACTTTCCATCATCAGTTCGAATACATTTATTGACCAAAATGGCAGACATCGAGTGAGTATGAATTTCCCAGTTTTAATTCTTTTCTGCCCCCAGCGCACCCCTGTTGTGAGGTTTTTCTTTCCACTTGTGTGGTCTTAGCATTCTTGATTACCTCATTTGTGATATAATCTAGTTTGGGATGACAGTAAATGGGATGTGGCAGAGGATGGAGATGCTTATTTAAGTCAGCACAAGGCCAAGCAGATCAGTTACATATTTGAGATGAGGGCCTTTCCTTTGGCCTCAAAGGCTTCGCCCACATTCTGAAGATGCTCTCATTTTGGGGGAGACGTGCTCCAGTTCAGGCTTGTAGGTCATTTGGGGACGACCAGCTCTCCAGGCATTTTGGCATACTGAAACATATTAGGGGGGAAAGTCAACACAAACTCAATTTTCCACTTTGTCTGGTTCAGTAAACACTGTTATTAGTCCCCAGTGAAGCTGGCAGCTATCATTTAAGTAGACAGAGCATTGGGTTCAAACTAGACGTCAGTATAGGCCAACTCTAATTTGCTGTCACTAAGCTTTCATGTGTACAAATTAGGTCACTTCTTATCACTATGCTGTATGATTTTGCTTTTGATGGCTGGGCACTTAAAAGGTGGCAAGATGAACCGCCTGTGTCCTGCTCTACTTACTAGACCACAGACTCCCATAAGTATCAGCCCAACTTCACAGTGAAATGTCAGTTACAAGGAAGGAAATCTCCATTTTAATTCCTCTTAGTGCAGCTGGTAGAAGAAATAACCCTTAATCACATGAATTATGCCCCACTAGAGAGTTAGAACAAACTAAGTCCAGAACACTGCTGTTGGTAGATTTAAAATTTGTCTTCAAGTTTCAGATTTCTAAACCAGTATTAGAGTAAGGAGGGAGTGTCAAGGAGTTTGCTGTCAAGGATCATTTTGGATCAGCTCCCATGCCCCTCCTTTGCTCTCCAGTTCTCTTACCCACAGGCAACTCTCTGTGACGTTCTTTATTCTTGTGTTTGTTTTATTTTAGGTACAGGCTTTCTGTTGGCACCAGTGAGAAGATTCAGCTGAGCTCCCTCATTGCTGCTTTTCAGGTTACCCGAGACCTGATTGTGGCAGAGGCCTAGGTGCTCCAAGCCGATCTCCACCTCTCAGGGCCCATCCCTGACTGGAGAACAGAGGACTCAGTTATAGGTGTGGCCGTAGAATGAAGCCAGTCAGCCCAGGTCTTGGAAAACTCTGGTCCAGGATGGACGGGCAGATATTTACAAAGTACTGTCTTGGTTGTTTGAAACACCAATATAGAAAACAATTTTAACATATACCTATCTTATCACACTGCTTTTTACTTTTTTGGTATTTTTACCCTTTAGTTGCTTGGATAACAGGAAATTGGCCTACCCTTTGGTCTGTAACATGAGGTTTTCTAATCTACTGTGGTCCAAATGTCTTTCAACTCAAGGTAATCACCTACAAAGTTTATCAACCTAATATTTGGCATTATAAACTTTATAAACAAGTTCTAGTGAATTTCTGGCCCAAACTGTTCTATTTTTATAAAACAGTGAACACTTTAAAAACTAATCTTTTTGTTTCCCCTCTTGCAGTAGAACTTGTAGCAGGTTTCAGTGGTGTGGACAATAGGAAAAAAATTGAAATTTTAAATACAGAGCTAGCCTCTGAATCGTGCCATCTTAGGCCATTGCTTACACTAGCCTTATACTGGGAGGGCCTGTCAGATGAAGCCCAACCCAAAACCTGGACCTGCTCAAAGGACTGATCCCAAAGATACAGTAATCTCTTTTACAGTTTTGCTTTAAAATAAGGCTAAAGCAGCTAGCTTGGTGCTCACAAGTGATGCTGCTTCTTAGCCAGCGTTAGAAATGATGACTTATCTGTAATTGTACTGAATAAACTTTCTTTTAGGCTGTTCCTTACAATGTTGTCAAATTCTTATGCCTCCGTTTAACAGTGGCTCAATTTCAGTTTTTTAGCTTTACAGTGGTACAAGTGCAATGTGTTCAGTAGAAACCAGATTTCTAATTTTGACCTTGGGCTGGACTAGCAACATGCCCTGCACTACTCCAGTGATGCTGGGCAGCAGCAGGGCTGTAGCTCCCACCAGCCTCAATATCATAAGGGGAAACTCCACTGCCGCCCTCCCATGTGCTGCTTTGCTGTTCAGCCTATCCGTTGTGTGAAAAGCACCTCTGATATGGGTATTTCCAAATTAAAATGGGTTTATGGAGATGCAGCCCCGTGGTAAGCTGAGGAACATCTGACATCAAAAGGGAGAAATAGGTTGGTTATCCCTCCATCTAGACGGCTCACTAGCAGTTTGAAGCTATTAGCCAAGTAGGCCCCAAGGAAACAAACCCCCCCAGGGCTTCCCAGGGCCCTCTCTCTGATACTTCAAGATGGTCATGAAACTAAAAGGTTACCAGCCCATTCCTGCCCCTCCCACTGTACTGCTTGTTCTAAAAGGTGATTGTTAAATTTTATTGTTTCTCAGTCCTGGGGACTGAACCCAGATGTAGTCTAACACTGAGCTCTATCATCAGCCCTTTTTAAAAATTTTGAGATGGTCTAAGTTGCCACAAGCCTGGCCTCAAACTTTCCATCTTCCCGTCTCAGCCCTCTGAGTAGCTGAGCTTACAGGGGTGTGCCACCATGCCCAGTTGATTCTTTTTTCTTAATGTGGGAGGAAAAAAAGAAACAGAGCCAAAAGCTTTTGTTTTTGTTTTTTTCTTCAATGAAAGCCTTATTTTGAAATGTTTTTTCTTCAAGCAATGAAGGTGCTGAGATTCCTGTCTCATTAAGTTGTTACGCTGCCTCCATAAAGGATCAATTAAGAAAGCCAAAGAATAAGATGTTGCATTTCTTTCAAAATAATTTAAAATATATTAGATTTTCCTAAGGCAGATTTTGTTGGAATAAGGTGTCTTGATTAGATAGGTAAATGCCACTGAGGGAGAACAGTACTTTTAAGGAGCTATTTTTGTTGGGTAGTTGAAACTGACTAATGAGTCTGATGAGGTCAAGCAGCAAAGACAGATGTTGTACATAGAATATAAGCTGAAGTGCTGACAACACCAGTTCTTTACACAACGAAGACACATCTTCACCACTGTTCCATTTCAGTACTCTGGTTTTTAGATACGATTGAGAAAAACACAGTTGTACCTTAACATCTGTTTAGAAAATACAAATAAATATGATGCTAATAAATGGCCAACAACTGATAGCTCAGTAGCCATTTAACAGTCATGCATTTAGGAACACATCCTCATATAATCTGACATACAAATTTATCATCTCCTGCACATGCACACCATTGTTTAAAAAAAAATAATAAAAGAAACAGCCAATAATAGTGTTTGTTATCAGTCAGGAGCACAGCCTCTGATTTCGCCTGTTACTCAGGTAACACCTTATACCAAGTGCTCCATGGAAACTTGGTCCTGCTGATCAGAGGGAGCCTGAAGGAGGTAACTTGCCAATGTCAAAGCAGCTCTGAGCACAGCAGGAGGGGACGTTAAACCATGCCACCACTGTACTGGGAACAAGGATGAGTATGCTACACAGCTCACATCCCAGCTGAGGGCACGTAAACCTTGCCGCCACTAAGGAGAGGCTCTAGCGGCCTACTTGAATCATCAAAACATCAATAACTGCACTTTGAATCAAAATGACTACAAGGAGCTCAATATTTGCTTTTCACAAGTGGACTCAAGACTTAAAGTAAGGCTCTGTCACTGCAGAAGTGGGATTTCCTCCTCTAAGATTGGCTCGCAGATGCCATGGAGAAGATGACCCATGACCAGTCCATTGGAATCTAGTCTGCTACATTCTCTTCACAATCCCAAAGAATTTCTATTTCAACCCAAGACCAGATGTTTGGTCCGTTATTCCAGCTATTCCTTTGCCGGGAAGATTTATTCTGCTACAAGAAAACAAGATGTGCAGCATTGCTTAAAAAGTCCTGTACGTGAGGAATTCTTTCATTTTCTTGGGGATTGGCAGTGCTAGGACTTGGTAGGTTGTTAGGAAACTTCGAAGGGCTTTCCGGCATAAGTGCTTCAGTGAGGACAGGACTCTAGGAGCAGTCCAGAACTGGACATGGCCATCTCTTGTCCTGGAACAAAACAGACCAACAGGGTCAGAAAGACCTTGCTTTCATTGCAATGGATGTTTCTAATTTGACCTCAAGTAGCAAAATAGACTCCAGAAGGTGAAAGGCAAATCTGACTAGGAATGACTATGAAGGCTCTGGTGCTGACGAATGAGGGTTGCTGACAGGTTTCTAACACGTTATGATGTTGTATGTGCCTGTGGCCCAGACCACTCGAGAGGCTGAGATGGGAGGATCACTTGAGCCCATGAGTTTGAGGCCAGCCTTAGCAACACAACAAGACTTTATCAAATATAGAAAACCCTCAAGACAGAGACTTTTGACACCAGACACCATCTCTGTCAATAAAGACCTTTCAACAAGTTAGATCAAAAGTGGTAAGAGGGAAGAGTGTCACCTACCAAATCCAAGGAGTTAACCTGTAAGGTGATCTCGGTCATAAATCCTTTCCCATAAAAATTCTACATCATCCTAATTTGTGTTCCCTTGTAAACCTGGCCCACTGAATTGCAGATCTTTAAATACATTGTGGTTAAATATTAAAAGAGTAAATTGTCAGAATTGAATATTTGAATTTTACATAATCTTGGATTTCTTTTCTTCCCTTAAAAACTACATGGCACATGCAGCATAAACTGCTCCCCATCTGCTCAGCTAACATACATACCCTGTGGCAATAACTCCACCATGTGGAAAAAACGTGCAGCAAAGTCCATTGGTCATGGGAGCAAATGCCACGGGAGCCTTCAGCTCCAGGGCCCAGATCCTGAGGAGCCTGGACAGGAGAGAGTGGTACAGTGACACACTAGCCAACCTGGGCCACACCAGGAGGGGCATGCTGCCACTACTTCCAAACGCCTGCTCTGAGGCCTCCTAAAGGGAGTTCTCTCGTTACCTGTCGTCTGCCACTGTCGCAAGGTACAGGCCTTCAGGAGAGAAGCACACGGATCTCAAGGAGCTCATGTGGACATCGCTGTCATCCATGGCAGGCTCAAGCTGGGTGTGGCTGCAGAAGTCAGAAACAGGACGGCAGGCTGGGTGTGAAGGCCAGCCTCCTGCTGCAAACACCCCTAGGCAGGAGACCAAACTGCTGTGCTCTGTGCCCTTATGGAAAATCTGGGATTCAGACTGGAAAAAAGGGCCCTTCAGAAGGCCCCAAGAGTCTTGGGGCTGAAGGGTTACTAGCACTTCCTTGTGCTAATTTCTTTATGCAAAGTAGGTCAGCTCTCACTTTAATGCCACAGTACAAACTGAAAATCTTTTTTAGGCTGAGATACATGATAATTATAGGACTACCTATTATTTGCTTCATAAAACAGAAAGACAAAAGGAAAAAGTAGACCAGGTTTGTAAGAACATGAAATTCATATTGGAAATTATGTTTTCAATCGGAGGATCTTTCTGAACTTGTTACTACAGTTATTAGTAAGTGGAATTTTGTCACTTTGAGGTTTCATAATGATGAATCCAAATTAGTACAGACGGCTTCCTAAACCCAGAGACTTGCAGACCCTGACAGCAAAGCACTGAGCCACTGCGCCTTCTCATCTAGGCTGCTCTTCCCCACCCCAGGCTCCAAGAGGGACCTGTCTAATGCCAAGTAGGTTCTCATCAGCCACCTGACAAGGAAACCATAGCAGGGAATCAGTCCTTACTGGAGTGACCTCAGCCTCTCGCCAGTGTAGGGGTCCCACATAATCACGTTGGTATCATAAGAAGCTGTGACAAGCAAGGCAGAGTCTGGGGAGAAGTCACAGGAGACAACACTGCTTTGGTGGCCTTCTAGCTTCCGGATTAGTGTGTAGGACCGCATGCTCCAGAGGAAGACCTGTGGGGACGAACAGGGGCCTGGTGAGGGGCAGGAACCGAGCACCCAGGACTTGAACAGCAATAAAAGGCACCAGAATCCCCTCTTCAGGCCCCATGGCCAGGTGAAACCATTCTGCCCTCCTCCTCCACAGCCTATCATCCAGGGGGAAACAAAGCAACGTACCTGAATTCATGAGGCACTGAGTGGGCAAGGTCAGCTTGGTTGTCTTTATCTCCAGCCCTTTTTTTTAAACTTTCTATCTTGAGATAGGGTCTCACTATGTTCCTGAGGCTGACTTTGAACTTGTAATCCTCCTGCCTCAGCCTCCCGAACAACTGGATTGTGCCACTATGCCCCGCCCAAAGAGTGTTCTTTAATAAGACTAAGCAAGCCAACTTGGAAGGCTGCCAGCTGAAATGGCCCCAGAGGCTTCTGAGCCCTGCTTGAAATAGGGTAGCACGTGCTGAGGAAGACTTGAGCCAAATACTACCTTGTTCCACTTAAAGTCAAAAATAGGGGTCAGAGGTGAACTCTGGACCACCCCACAAAGCAGTGACACCCTGATGACATTTTACACCCACACCTTTCTTAGAGAACCCATGGGAATATACCACGACTCTGACCTACCTTATCATTTCCACCCTAAGAATCATTAAAAGTAGCATTTTGTTTTCTCTCCTTTAAGAAAACTCATTTCACATAGTCTCACACCTCAAGTGGGCAACCACCTGGGTAGGATCAATAGCAGACCCTTAACCTAACTTTCTGTCAGTTACAGCAAGGGTTCAACACACATGCAAAACCTAAACAGAGGCAAATCACCAAAGGCTTGTTCTTGAGATTCTAATGCCTTTTCTTTTTTTTTTTTTTAACAGGATTAAAGGACAAAGTTCAACAATAAAAGTACCTGACCATGTCATGATCTGAATTAAAAATCCTAGATAAATTCAAACTAGATGATTCAAAGGAAATCTGGATCCAGATGTAGGTTGCAATTTTTAAATCTTAGAATCCAAAGGGAAAAGAGATCCAACAAGCACCCATTTTCTGTTTTGTAAAGGCAAACCACCCCTCAGACCTACTTCCGAACCTTCCACTTCTTGGTCCACATCAGGGTGCCGAGAGTAGTGTGTGTGTGGGGGGGTGCCAGCCCATCAGCATGCTTTCCTGCTGAGGCCAGCCAGCCGGCAGGTGGATTTTGGCTCTCACACACACAGAGTCAGTGCTTCAGACCCCTATTTCTCAATGAACTGAAGCAGTAGAGGAAATGGCACCCAGCGTTGGAGGCTTACCGACTTCTCTCCAGCTGCGGAGCACAGCATACTGCAGTCAGGGGAGATGGAGCAGCAGTAAACCCACTGGAGGTGACCTGATAACACCTGAATCTGTTTACCTGGCAAAGAAGAGAAACAAACAGTAAGCCACCCTGCAGAACAACGGAGAAGGGAGGCAGAAGTACCAGTAGTAATGGCCCAGCACCCAATACATCATCCAGTTCTCTCAAGACTGGGCCCAAAGGCTTTGCTGAGAAGGAACTACGTCCAACTTTCATTTAAACATGTAAACAGAAAAGAAGAAAACTAAAACAGCTGCAATCTATTAATATGATATTCTAATGGCCAAGGGAATTCATGGCACCACATAAATCTAGGGAAAAGGGTGAACATAGATCTAACACCTTTTCATAGCAGAAATCCTTCTCTTCAGGTTCCCAACCACCTCAAGTGCTCTGAAGCCTCCTTCCCAACTGACAGTGCTTATCTTCAACTCTCTGTTTAACCTCCATAATGGCTTCCCTCTGGTCCTACGTTGTCTGCTGGAGAAGGGGCGAGGTGTGAAGTAATTACAGGCATAAGCTCTGGAGTCAGATGACTCAGGTTTCAATGCCACCCGGCTCCGCTGCGTACTCAGTTCAGAAGTCCAGTGACTCACGCAATCTCTCCAGGTCTTGGCTTTTGGAAAAAACCTAATGCCCAGGCATAGGGGAGTGGGTGAATTAATGGGGGTATATCTAGTCTGTTAATGTGGATGGAATTAGAGAGACAGACTTTTCTATGGGGTAATGTTTAATGAAAAAAAGCAAGATGCATAGAAATGGAAGGCGGAAATTAACAGTGGGGAAATGTAACAGTGGTCTGTTCACCTTCTGAATATAGCCCTCACTGCTCTAAGGTTTAGTCTTTAAAAATTTTTTTTCCTCTTTTCTCCCCTCTCCCCCTCCCTAACAAGTTTAGGAGACAGTGTTCTCTTTTCTTCCCCTGGTTAACTGCCCTGGGACACACCACTACAGGAAGGGGATGCCAACATGCCATCAGGGGGCCTGGGATCCCTACCAAAGCATACCTGGAATGTAACCCTTGAAGAGTTTCTTTAAAACCCCTCTGTCCCTTGTGATTGAGAGTCACAGCCTTTAGGACAGAAGTCCCCTGGTGTTTTTTCTTTACTACCAAAGCAATAAACCTTCTTTTTCCTTTTTCTCAAAAACAAAACAAAAAGCAAGATGCAGAAAAAATGGGAAGCATATGATCCATTTTTGTGAAACAATGGTCTCCAACACCCATGGATGTAAGTCATGTATGCAGGATTATGTAAGTATAGAAAAAAATTACAGACAGCTATGTAAGTAGGTTCTTAACGTGGGTTACCAGATTGCAAAGGAAGAGAGGAGGACACACAAGAGGGAAGACAGGAGAAAATGGGAAGGAGAAAGCCAAGCAAAGGAAAAAATACAAGAATTTTTATAAACCCATATGTGGTCATACTTAGGAATTTATGAAGTTTTTATGCACATGCAGATATGTACAAGTTAATACTTTTAGAGTGGGTTATGGCCTCTTCAGCCGCCACATCCAAGTGCTGAGAACAGAAGGCGTTAAGGGAATCACGTCAGGAGGGCAGATCCCTGGAGCCCCACCTCAACGCCCCCTTTATCAGGAAGCCCTAGTCGTGGCCTGCACTGCTCTCAGTCATGCTTACCTAGCCCTTCCTTCTCTCCAAGCCAGCATGGGATTCCCCAAGTCACTCTCTAGTCCCTCCCGGGACAGCAAGCTGCCGGGGTAAAGCCCTGCTGTGTTGTATGTTTCAGTAGGGCAACACCACTCCAAGGGGGCTCGTGGGAGCCAGAAACCTGTTTTTTTCTTTTTTAAACATACCAAGCATAGACATGCTTTTAATATATCAATGTTCCGTCAGCCCTCTGTGCCCCCCACACTTACAGATTTAACTATCATGGATGGAAATTTTTTTTAGTTGTGTCTGTACTGAACACGTACAGATCATTTTTCCTGTCATTAGAGTGAAGCCACCATTTCCCTTACTGTATTAGGCATTCTAAGTCACCTAGACACAGTTTCAAGCATAGTGTGTTGGTTATATGAAATACTATGCTATTTCATATCAGAGACTTGAACAACCACAGTTTTGGGTATCCACAGGGGTCCTGAAACTTGTTCTTTTGATAACTGAGGGATGACTGCACTGTATTTCTTTGGTTTAGGACATCTTTGGGACAAGAAGGGTAATTAGGAAGAGAATGTCTCCTTAGAGGGCAATAACAGAAAAAAGTGTTGAAAAACCATTCTAGATAAAAATAGCATTGGTGAGGTTGAGAAAGGAGCAGATACATTATTTCTGGAGTCTTCAAGTTAGTTTAACCACCTCCCTACCATGTTTATTCAGGTCCCAGATGCGAAGAGTCTTGTCCCGTGATGCAGAGACCAAAATCAAACTGCCACTGGGTGTGAAGCTCAGATCTCTCACAACGTCTTGGTGGCCAGAAAGATTCAAAAGCAGAAGCCCTGAAAGGGGAGCAGAGGACTCAGTCAGCAGGAGAGGGGCACCCAGACTGCCCATCACCCTATACCCCAGGACAACTGGGGATCTGACAGGAACAGGTCATGAACATGCCTCTTGAACATGAACATGCCTGAACACCTTGTGCCAGCCAGAAAAGACCTACCTGTCTGCACCTCCCAAATCTTGATCTGTCCATCATTAAGCCCCGTGGCAAGGATCAGGCAAGAGATGTCTGGCACTTGGGGGTGGTGGCGTGCCCAGAGCTTCCTGCTGGGTGGAGAAGGCCACGGGCTGAAGGCCAAACCCCAAACAATCTGACCACAGTCCAGTGTCTTCTCTTTTGGGCTCCCTCGTCCTTTTGTATCATTTTTGCTGCTTCGGCTTTTGGCTTCGAACCCTTTAGGGATGCTGGAGAAAGCAAAGATTGGAGTCTAAAATTGTTACCAAGTCAATCAACTTGTCATCCTGGGACAGTAACACTTGATTAAAGTCCTAAAAGAAATGTTGGTTTTTAGTAAATTCCAGTGTGACTTTGTGTCATTTTGGAACTCATGTAATAGAAGCTTCACTGGCCTTGTCTCAGTCCACTGGCAACAGCCCTGCAATGAGGTGACCTGCCGTATGGGATAACTAGATCACAGATGCTCCCGGGAGCCGCACACTTGCTCAGAAAGTTCTCCTGGGTTTTGGTGTGTGGAAAGAAACATGTACTCCATTTTTCCTATGAGAGAGCATACTTATACCATAGGTCTGGAACCAGGACAGACAGAATTAGAGCCTGAACACCAGCCAACATGTCCCCTTCTATCATCTCAGAAGTCCTCAAGGAGCTGGGAAATAAACCTGTCTGGCCAACAGTTTGTTTAGCAGATGTTGATTTCCACCTTCACCAGTAATAAGGCTCTTCCTTATTTCCACCTTCACCAATCAATAATAAAGTTCTTCCAGGTACTTCCTGGTGGGACATCCAGGACAAGAAGCAACCAGAAGAGTAGTCAACAAACAGAAAGAACCACAGAACTGCTCACAGGGATACCTCCGGAAGATCTCCTGGCCCGAGCCCCTCCTTTACATTCCTCTCCTTTTATATCCTCACTCTGTTCCAGGTAACTGAAGCTCACTCCCTGAGTCACTGGGCCCTGCCCACCTCTACGCCCAGCAGACAAAGTCTCAAAGTAGACAGGTCTGGGATTTGGCCTGAGAACAGTTTACTATTTGAAACACACCTGCTTTTCTGGGTGACCATGACCACACTCGTGTCCAGCCACTGGGGGAGATGGAGAGAATGCCAGTCCCAGCGCAATCTGACATACTTCAGCGAGGAATCCTACACTCACAGTATCTATGCCCGGACCTCTATTCCACGCTTTCCCAGAAGTTCTGAGCAAATCACACTTCTGTCAACTGTATGGTAAAATCAGAAATTTTACCAAGCTCACCTGGAAAATAAGAAGGAAGGAGCCAAGCAAATGTGGGCTAAATCAGAGGCTGGCAAACTGTGCCCGGGCCAGCAGTCTGTTTTTGTTTTAACTCTTTCAACAATCCCTTAAGTTCTCAATTTTAAAAAAATTATGGTCTATTTAACAAATAAAAATTGTATATATTTACAATGTATAATATAAACATGTATACAACGTAGAGCGATTAAATCAAGCTCATTAACATATCCTTCACTTCACAAACTTTTTTTCCTCCTGAGAATACTTAAGATCTACTCTTATAGCAATTTTTCAAATATAAATTATTAAATATTGTGTCCATGTTGTACACCAGAACTCATCCCACTTAACCCAAACTCTGCAGCCTTGACCCAAATCCCCACCCCTCCCGGCCACCAGAGGGCCGCCCCCCACTCTGCTTCTAGGAGTTCGACATTTTTTAGATTCCACACATAAAGGTGCTTGGTATTTGTCCTTCTGTGCCCAGCTTACTTCATTTAGCATAATGTCCTTCACATTTATCAATGTTGTGAAAATGACTAGATTTAGTTTTGTAAATAAAAGTTTTACTGGAACCCTGCCATTGTCATTTGTGCACATATTGCTACACAGCAGAACTGAACAATCCTGACAGACTTTGTGGCCCATGAAGCCTAAAATATTTACCATTTGGGCCTTTACAGAAAATGTTTGTTGGCCCCTGGTCTAAATGGCCAAATGAGGCTGATAATGTGTTTTTCTGGCTAAACAATCTGAATGTAACCAATGTCTTTTCAGCTGATCCTGCCCTTTCCCTATGTGGCCCTCCTTGCCTGTCCACGCTAACCAGACCTACCTGGCCATGGTGCAGGTGAGTGGCACCTTGAGAAGGACTATAAAAGCAGGCCATGGGAAGAACGTCACAGAAGAGCTTGGAAGGTATGTTTTATCTTTTATAAAATTAGGATTTCTGTATTTGAATTAATTTATTTCTGTATTTGATTTCTGTAACTACTTTATTCAAAATGTATTAAGACACTTTCCAAATTATTTCATTTTAATATTATAAATTGAATGTTTCTAGAAAGAGGGTCATGAACCACTTAACAAAAGAGAAACGTGCTGAGAACTGCTCAGTTAGGAGCCTCTGTTCTTGTGCCATCAACAGTTACAATGTCACTAGGCAAATCAACCTTTTGGGCACCTGCTGGGTGGTTTTAGCTCAATGCACTTCTAACACTAAATCTAAGGAGATAGCCTTGGATCCCACAGGTTGAGGGTCAGTCCCCAAGAACTTCCCTGTCTGCTACAGATGCTACTCCAAGTCCCAGGATGTTTTCCTTGTGCTTCTGACCCACTGGCTATAAATGAAGGTTCCTTTCCACGACCCCCTCCTCAGATTAAATTAATTGCCAACATGTGGTCTTTCACTGACCAAAACACTGTTAAGAAGGGCAGCACTGTACTCAAATTCTTGCTGTATGAGTACAGCTATTAACTTTCCCAGGCTCACAAAGTCAAGGGCAGAACTGAAATTAGAACTCAAGTCTTGGGGCTAGGGAAGCAGCTCAGTTGGTAGAGTGCTTGCCTCTCATGCACAAGGCCCTGGGTTCAATCCCCAATACCGCAAAATAAAAAGAAAGAACTCAAGTCTTGGGTGTCTTGGGTGAGTACTCAACAAATATTTAAGGATAGAGTGCATGAGAGGTAGGAGGTGGGAGCGTGGGAAGGGGCTGCTGGAGCGAAGGGAGATTCATTAACAGAACTTAGCTTAGCTTCACCTGAAAAGAAAGCTTCCCAAACCTTTTGGTTAAGATGATTATTTGGCTCAATACCTAAAGCAATTCCTAATTTTTTAATGCATTACAATCTTAAGCATATAAATGCCCCAGATCTTTCCTCTCCTGGATTGAATCCAGAGGTGCTCTACCACTGAGCTACATCCCCAGCTCTTTTATTTTTTAAGACAGGGTCTCGCTAAATTGCCTAGGCTGGCCATTAATTTTTGATCTTTCTGCTCAGCCTCCTGAGTAGCTGGGACTACAGGGACAAGCCAGTATGCCCTGCTCCAGATTCCCGCTTTTATTTTTTGTATCAGGGATTGAACCCAGGTTGCTTAACCACTGAGCTAAATCCCCAACCCTGTAATAATTTTTTTTTTTTTTTTTTTGAGACAGGGTCTTGCTAAATTGCCAAGGCTGGCTTTGAATTTGTGATCCTCCTGCCTCAGCCTCCTGAGTCACTGGGATTATAGACTGTACCACTGGACCTGATTCCCACTTTTAAAGGTCTTTTAAAACAACAATTACAGGCTGGGGTTGTGGCTCAGTGGTAGAGCACTCGCCTCTCACGTGTGAGACCCTGGGTTCGATCCTCAGCACCACATAAAAATAAATAAACAAAATAAAGATATTGTGCCCATATAACTAAAAAATTTTTTTTTAAAAGATCACTTCAAGTTTCAGTAGAGAAATATGGGAAGATCTGGAAATGAAACTAATAAAAATTATCCACAATTAATATTCTAAACATTTCACTACAGATTTTAATTTCTGTGTACACTCATATTTTTTTAAAAAATAAATTTGGGATAATATTGCACATACAGTTTTATAGTCTGCTTTCTTCAACAAGCCTTATGTCATGTATTTCCTCAGGTTATTATTCTTCAAGATGTTTGATTTCCCCCCAAAAACAGGTAAGTCCTCATTTAACATATTAGTACTTTTCTCACTATATTAAATAATAAATATACAAAAGGGTTAATATTAAATGACTTTTTCCATTTCCCTTTAGTTAATACTGAAAGAATACATTTACCTAGAGTAATGTACACATTTAAATATATCTAATTTGGGGGTAAACAACAGATTTTCTATTTTATTCTTTTTTCAAAAAAAACAAAAAACTTTCAGACAATAAATTGGTATCAGACTTATGTCTAGATACAAAGGAGAGTCCCCTGCATTTGGAGTGGGAGGTCAATTAACAATAAATATCCTCGCCATTACCAGTAAACTGACCACAGAAGAACTGAAGATCATGATTACAAATATGATAACTTTAATGACTTTACAAATATATGGAAACGTCATAATTAACCATCCTTTATTACTAAATCTTAAGGTACCTCTGATTTTTTTCACTATTAATTTCTTGATGAAAACCAGCACATGTAAATAGGTGACCCCAGGTTCTGAGATTCCTAATAGTAAGAAGAACTTGTGTGTGTGTGGTGGTGGTGGTAGGGGATACCAGGGATTGGACCCAGGACCTGACCCCCTACCACTAAGTCACATCCCCAGCCCACCAGGAGACCATTTTTACGGTCTTGTCAAATCGCCTTCCTTCCAGAAACTGCACAAGTTTACCCCTCTGAAGGTACAGGGGGGAAAAAAAAAAAATCAGTCATTTTTTCCATATATTCTTTTTTGTTTTTTTCCTTAGTTATACATGGATACAATATCTTTGTTTACCCCAGCCCTCTCCTATATTCTCAACATAGAAGACTTCTGTGCAAACATGGGGGCTTTTCCCCACACATAAGCAAGCAATTCTGTAGCAGGCACCTTCTGGGTGGTTTTAGCTCAATGCACTTCTAACACTAAATCTAAGGAGATAGCCTTGGATCCTACAGGTTGAGGGCCCAGTCCCCAAGAACTTCCCTTTCTGCTACAGATGACTACTCCAAGTCCTAGGTTGTTTCCCCTGTGCTTCTGACCCATTGGCTATAAATGAAGGTTCCTTTCCATGACCCCCTCCTCAGATTCAATAAATCTGTTAGAGCAGCAGACAGACCTCAGGAAAATGCCTTACTTAAATTTTTACCTGTTTATTATAAAGAATACCAGTAACAGTGGAAGAGATGCACAGAGCAATGCATATAGGAAGGAGCACAAAGACTCCACACCCTCCCCAGGGCCATCAATTTGCAAGGAACTTCCAAGTATTCACTTATCTAGCTCTGAACCCAGTCCTTTTTGGGTTTGATAGAAGCTTCATTGCATAAGCATGGTTAATTACATCATCAGCCAGTGGCAATCAACATCACCTTCAGCCCCTTTCCCTTTCCTGCAAGTTGGGGATGAAAGTCCCAATCCCTTAATCCTGCCTTGCTCTCTCTGGTGACCAGCCTCCATCCCAAAGTACCTAGGGACAGCCAGACAACAATCAACTCAACAGCACACAAAAAGACACTTATCATTGTGGAGATCCCAAGGATTTGAAGAGTTGTGTGCCAGGAAATGGAAACTGGTAATGTCAACAAAGTATCAATAATAATCACAGTATCACACCCTTCAACCCTAGCAGTGGGCAGATTCTTCTGGCAAACTCTTGTCAGCACCTCATACTGTTAGAGAAACAAGTTTCAGACTGAATTATTACAAAACTTAAATCTAACCTGCAATTATAAAAAATGCCTAAAGCAGGCCTAGTGTGGTGGCACAGGCCTGTAATCCCAGTTGCTGGGGAGACTGAGGCAAGAGAATCGCCAGTTCAAAGCCAGCCTCAGCAATGGTGAGGCATTAAGCAACTCAGGGAGACCCTGTCTCTATTACAAAACAGGGCTGGGGATGTGGCTCAGTGGTCAAGTGCCCCTGAGTTCAATCTCCAGTAACCACCCCGCCACACACAAAAAAAGGGCAGCAATTCAGTAAGGCCCCAAGCAACTCAGTGAGACCCTGTCTCTAAATAAAATACACAAAAGGGCTGGCCATGAGGCTCAGTGGTTAAGCCCCCTGGGTTCAATTCTCAGTACAAAAAAAAAGCCTAAATGAGACCCCAAGAACTGGCTGAATTGATTGTACTTCAGAATTCAGAATACTTGGCCTCTAGCTCAGTGTCAGGCAAATAATTGAAACAAAAATTCCCAGAATAAATAAATGCAGACATAGAGTGGCCCCAAGACACACAAAAAGGTACAAATATATCCAACATAATGCCCTACATAACATTTCCTGGGATCTGACTGTTCCAGATAAAGAAAAACTTTAGCATGAGAAACTTAACCAAGTCAACAAAGAAAAACATTCAATTTTAAAATGGTCTAAAGATCTAAACAGATATTTCTCCAATGAAGATATACAAACGGCCAAAAAGCACGCGAGAAGGTGCTAAACACCAGTAACTACCAGGGAAACGCAAATTAAAACCACTGGCATTCAATTTCACTCTCATTAGGATGCTATGCTGAAATCAAAAAGACAACAAGTGCTGGTGAGGATGCAGAGAACTGGAATCTGAAAGCACAGTTGGCAGGATTGAAAATGGTGCCACCACTTTAGAAAACAGTCTGGCACTTCCTCAGTTAAACATTGAAAACACATGCCCACACGAAAACTGTACCCGCAACACTATTCATAATAGCCAAAAAAGAGAAAAGGAAAAAAAAAAAATCTAAATGTCCATCAATCAATGAAAAACGTATAAACAAAATTTGGTATCTCTATACCATACAATAATTATTTGGCAAATGGAGATGTACTAATACATACTACATTATGAACTATGAAACATTATGCTATGAGAAGCTGGTCAAAAAAGCCACATATTCTAAGATTCTACTAATAAGAAACATCCACAATAGATAGATTCAGAAAGATAGTAGTTGCCAGGGACTGCAGGTGTCTCCTGCAGCAAGTACAAGATATCTTTCTAAGGTAAAGAAAAAGTTGAATATGATTATGGATGCACTAAAAGCCACCATATTGTACACTTTAAATGGGTGAATTGTATGGGGTATAAATTACGTCTCAATAAAGTTAAGAAAAAGCGTGGGGTTACAACAACCTTGACAGAACTGAATTTTCCACTCACAGGATGCTGGTGTTCTGCGAACTCCAGTGATAACTCCTGAACTGTTCAGCCTTTTTCCCTCTGCTGTTTTTACACAGGGAGTAAGAAAAGGGAGTAAAAAGAAAGGGGAGTAAGTTGGGAAAGTGCCCTTATTCCTTTGGGTACAAGGAGTACTTACAACTGCTCCTCCAGTGGCCAAGGGATCAGCTTGACGATGCAATGTCCTTGAGACCAGGCAAACCAGGAGCCATCTGGGGAGAAGGCGACACTCCAGGTTTCACAGCTCGACTTCCAATCAAATTGGTGGGGGCGCCCGGGCTTGAGTTCTGCCAGCAGCAGCGGTTCCTCTGTGGCAGGAGACAGCATGCTTCAAAAACACTCTCACACCCTGGAGGGCCTCAAGGAAGCTGCATTCTTCAAGAATGTGGGGAACACTATGGATTCCCAGAGGGAGTTGTCATTTAAATGACCTAGGGTAATAAGTGACCACAGGCCACATTCCATCAGGGTTACTCAGTCCCATCCCTCCCAGTTGCCAGTTAACCATGACTCAAGAGTCACCTTTAGGAGGGGTGAACTCACTGAATGGAGGCCTCATTTTCCTATGAATGCCTGAGCAGGAAGAAGGCAGGAGGCATCCAAGCCAGGGCTATGTTGGATGATGCAAAAATAGTCAGATATGTTAGCCATGCTAGATGGTTCCACCACAGCAAGGCTACCAATGTGTTTCAGGTCTCCTCAATTAACCTAATCTTGGGAAAAGGTATGGGGTATGGCAGGGATCATTCCCAGCACTCCCCCATCAGGAAAGCTAAACTCCCGCAGCCCTTGCCCTGGCTTTTCTTGCTCAGATCTATTGGTTAGGCCTTCCCTATCTCCTTTAACCCAGATCTTTCACAAGTCTTCCAATCTTCCCACCCCTAGAGAGCCTGCCAGAGCTGAAAACATTCATCACATCACTTTCCCCTGAAAATACATTCCCAGACTCCCTCCAGCCTACATAATACAAGCAGCTGAGCCCAGGCTTCTTCTACCACACCTAGGACTGCCTCCTTTCCATTACACCTCTTGCACTGCAGGCCACACAAGTCTGCTAGACATTCCCTTTCAAGTTCACACCTAGACTTACAACTGAGACATCCTCCATTATCACAATACCCTGTTTAATTCTCTTCTGCAACCAGCATTTAACCACTCTCTTCCAATACCACCAAGATGATTTCATCTTTATTTCTCCCAGGGCCTCTTGTGAGGGTAGGTACTGCACAGGTACTTCTACATGGACTGAACTGCAATTCCTAGTTCAATCCTGTAATTCTGAAAGAAGATTCTCCATGGCTGATAAGGTCTGTAAGCTAAAGGCCTTCAGAATGGATTTTTCTGGCCACTAGCATCATGATACACGCTAAGAGAAAAAGTGAGTTCCATTTTGGATGAGGTCACTTCCGTATGTACATGTTCCACTTCAAGAGTTCCAGACTTTGAACTTTTATGGCTACAGATAAGATACTAACTTAAACCACCTACTTTTTAAAAAATATTTTCTTAGTTGTAGATGGACATAATACCTTATTTATTTATTTTTTTTATGTGGTGCTGAGGATCGAACCCAGTACCCCACACATGCTAGACAAGCGCTGTACCACTAAGCCACAACCCCAGCCCCAAACAACCTATATTTTAAGCTCATCTTTTTAAGTCTTCCTACATTACCTCTCTGAAATCAGGATGTATTTTATAATAGACAACTTTTCTTAAATAGGCAGAATTTTTGTCTTTCCTTTGTAGCTCTGGGGATTGAATCCAGGGCTTTGCAAATAATAGGTAACACTCTACCACTAGCTATGTCTCCACCCTCCCCCTTTATTGTGTGTGTGGTGCCGGGGATTGAACCCAGGGCCTTAAGCACGCAAGGCAAGCACTCTACCAACTGAGCTATATTCCTAGCCCTTAATTTTATTTTTGAGACAGGATCTCACTAAGTTTCCCAGGCTGACCTAGAGCTTGTGATCCTCCTGCTAAGTTAGCCTCCGGAGCAGCTGGGATTACAGGCCTGCACCACTCACACCCAACGCAGTAAGCAATATCCTTTTTCTCGGCGGCACATAATGGAAATACAATCCAAGGTATCTTGAAATCAGTGCAACACATGGTAAAGAAAAAAAACACATACACACACACATTTTTTCCAGTATATGTACCACAGGAAAAAAAAGGCTTTTGTTTTTATAAAATCAATGTGGCTAAAAATTCTTTCTATAAATGTGATTTTAATAAATGATATCAGGCCTCTGTAAAGAGAACATCCATTCCTGCACGTCCTATGTGTAAATCTAGGCTTTCGTATATTTGATCTGTCTAAATTGGTGTCTGTGCAGACCAAAGTTTTGTTTTGTTTTTGGTAATGGGGATTGAACCTCAGGGGGTGGGGGGAATGCTTAACCACTGAGTCACATCCCCAGCCTTTTAAAAAATTTTATTAGACAGTGCCTCACTAAATTGCTGAGACTGACTTTTGAACTCATTATCCTCCTGCCTCAGCCTCCCAAGCCACTGGGATTACAGAGCATGTGCCACTGGCCCGGCCTGAGGTAATTCTTCCTAGAAATTTGTGTGTGTGATCCCTTCCTTTGCACAATCCCATCTGTATGAATTCACTTTTGTGGATGTGATGTTCATATGGTAAGAAGTCCCCTTGTATTCTAAATCCAACACAGGTCTCTTGATGGTATTCAGGAATTTGCCACCATTTTCTTCAATGATATCATTTTTAGATATTTTCTTATGGTGACATAAACCCTAATCTACTAATGTTTTCTTCATGTAGCCCAGGAGTTCCACTGGGGGTAATTTTGTCCCCTGAGGGCTTGTCACAGTGTCTGGAGACATTTTTAGTTGTCACCACTAAGGATGTCACATCTGTTATGTAGAGGCCAGGGATGCAGCTCAATATCCTACAGTGCATGGGACAGACACCCCCACAAAGTATTATCTGGCCCAAAATGTCAATAGTGCTGAGGTCCAGAAATACAGATGTAGTCAAATTAAATGATACTGACTAGGGGCTGGGATTGTGGCTCAGCGGGGCCCTGGCATGCACGGGACCCTGGGTTTGATCCTCAGCACCAACCACATAAAAAAATGAATGGAATAAAGGTATTGTGTTCAACTGCAACTAATAAATAAATAAATAAATGACACTGACTGATCTGGAAGAACATTTCAGTTGAGCTGGAAGAAAATTCCTTTAATCCATCTGATCATGTTCATATTCGGTTCACTCCCTCTCCTAAATGCTCATTATCCATCCCCGTGACTATGTTCCACACACACTATCAAATAAGTTACGGTTACATTGATTTCTTCTACCTCCCTAATCAAACCCATTAGCAAGTTCAGTCAAGTCTGTTTCCAGATTTGCCTAATCTACTTCAACCCATCTCTGTGGCTACTGTTCTAATACACCTGGCATCATCTCACCTGCCCACCAGGCCGCCTTCCATCTGCTCTCCTTGTTTTCACTCTAGCCCCACCATCCCTCCTCACTTCCCACTTCCTAGAACAAAATTCAAACTCCTGCCTGCTCTCAAAGTCCGGCATTACCTGTCCCCTCCCTCTCCTCTCCCTGCTACATCCAGGACCCTGGCCACCTACCGCCTGACTGTGCTCAGCTACCTGAGGGCCTTTGAACAAGCTATTCACTTGAGGATGCCTCTCTGTATCTGGTACCTTACCCCAATGACAACTCCTTCTGGAGTTCTCTGACCTTAGTCAACTTCACCACTTGATTGGCATGTCTCGCTCACTACCATCCTGTCCACTACACTGCAGGACCCTTTTTTATCCCCAGTGCTAGCAGAGTTCCTGGCAAACAGCAGGCAGTCTATAAATATTTAGTGAATAAATATACATGGTATAGCTCTTTAAATATAAACAAAACGAAGTCCCTTAAACTACTATGATGCTTTAAGACAAACATTTCACATGAAATCCTTCTTCAACATCAGCCTACTGAAAATGTACACACTATTTCTGTGATTTAGGAATTCAATCTCTCTTGCTATTTTGGTTCAGGAATTCAGGCACTAAAAGAAGAATAAACCCAGCGACTCCTGTTAAGGAGTCTGAGCCATTAAACTTGGCTACTGGAAAAGAAAACCATAATTAGTGCAGAACTTGAAAACAAAACAGAGCCGAGAGGACCAGCTTCATCTGGGATTGTACCTGCAGTGGCCCTTCTTGGTTTGAAACAGTTTTAACTGAAAAATATTGGATGTGTTTATAGTATACCACCCGGTGTTTTCACATATGGTATGCGTTACATCACATACTTTCTTTTGTAATAAAGCACTTACAAATCTCTCAGCAATTTTCAAGCATTCAATATAGAGTTCTTTATTAACTACAGTTACCATAATGTACCACAGATCATTCTGAACTTATTCCTCCTAAATTTTGTAACCTTTAACCAACATTTCCCTAATACCCACCGACACCTACACACACCTTTAAGGGTCTTCCAATTAAACAGTGGATGTTTGGATAATCAGGTCAAATGGAAAGACATTTACTATGGATTCTCTTCCACGCACAGGACTTAGCCTTAACAGATATCAGGAAGCTCAGAGAATTTTCCTGCCTCAGGACCTTTGCATTAGCCATATCATGGGCCCGGGAAGATTTGCCTGGCTGTTCCATTATATCATAGGGAACTCCCTGTTTCTAAAGTAATCTTGTCATTTTCCTTTACCCATTTAATTTTCTGGTTAATTATCACTATACTTTGACTGCTATCATGTATTTATTGTCTATCTTTTCCCCAACCCACCTCAACTTGCCTACCTCTTCACTGCTGTTGGTCTGCTCTGCTCAACACAGTAAAGCACATGTAGTTACTGACCACTTAAAATGGGTAGCAAATCTGGAGACAGGCTGTTCAGTACAAAATACACACCATATTTTGAAGACACAGTACAAAAAGACACTGAAATAATCCAATGATTTTTATTTGATTACATAAATGAATCAAATTGCAATGATAGTATTTAGATGTAGTGGACTGGATATAATTTTTAGATTAATTTCTTAAAAATTGTTTTCTTAAAAAATGTAGCTGTTACCAGAACTTTTAAAATTACCTATATGTATGTGGCTCTTATTTTATTTTCCTTTTTTGGCAACACTGGGAATTCAACCTAGGGCCTCACATGTGCTAGGCAAGTGCTCTACCACTGAGCAACACCATCAGTCCTTTTTATTTTTTGAGACAGATTCTCATTAAGTTGTCCAGGCTGGCCTCAAACTTGCACTCCTCCTGCTACAGCCTCCTGAGTACCTGGGATTACAGAGTACATCACACTCTGCTCTGTACTTTATTTCTATTGGCCAGCAACAGCCTAGAGAATGCCTTGCACATAGTAGACACTCAATAAATGTTTGAATAAATAAATGAATTCAAACCATTGCTCTGAAGATTTCCACTATTGTCCATTGTAATCCGTTTACAATACACTTTATTCAGTTTGAAAGCAACACAAAACTCTGACCTTTTAAAAAAAAAACAAAAAAACAGTAGCTTGGCAGCTCTCAACAACTTTGCCCACACTGGCAAACACAGCTGTCAATCAGTAGGAAAAACCTCAGAACTGGAAATGGATTCCTGTTAAAAAAGGCAGGTTAGCTTCACATTGCCTTTCAGATTTAACTTAAGGAGAAAAAACTGCTATAAAAAAGATACTCAAGACCCCGGAAAATGGGCCATTTAAAAGGAGTTCTATGGGTAACACAATCACTGAAAAGAAAGCCCTTATCTAGATGGGAACTGGAAAAAGCTGCCTCTACACCTTTTTGACTGCCTGGCTCCAGCAAACAAAGAAATGTCACTTCCTAAATTAAAAAGTAACACCACCCCAGGGAAATCCTGGTTGGCAACCAACCCACCCACAATAACGAGCCACCAGCAACCAAAATGAAGACTGAACTTCAAGGCAAGATGCTCTCTGGAACAAATTCTGAGCCTTAGGCCTGGACCCCTTCTGAGAAGTTCCCTTAAGGAAACCGCTTTTAAATCTTCAGTTAAGGACTCTCAGAATAAATCTCAAATCCATCCTAAATTTCTGTATGCAAGGAGGTTAGACCAGGTAAACCTAAGGGATGCGCCTGGAGGTTTTGGCCTTTGTACAACCACCACACCTTTTCCACTGAGTCGGGGTGTTCATCTGAACTGGATGAAAGTGCATCCAATATTCTGGCTTCCACTTTTTTTTCCTGATAGTAAGGGGTGTTAACAAGGACGGGGCGAGCACTGGACCTCATGGCTTTTCTAAACTTACATGATCCTAAGTGTCACTAGGGATCAACATCCCCAGTCCCACCCCACCGAATTAACTCTCGTGAGGGAGCGGCTCGGCATGTAGTTCTAACAGGGCCCCAATTCGTGGGAACAGGCAGGCCGGGAAGCACCCAACCACCCACCGAGGCGGGCACTATTATTATCCGTCGTTCAGGGACAAAACCGAGACGTAGGTTGGGGGGGTTAAGTGGCTTGTCCACGAGCGCGGCCGCCCAGCGTGGAGGGCGCAGGGCCGACTCCCACCCAGGCTGCGAGCGCGTCAAGGGCCCCTGGGCAACCGCCCCCTGAGGGTCTGTCTAGGGCTCAGCGTTCCACACGGTCCCCCGGCTGGGGCTCCCAGGCCCAGCAGCCCGTCCGCCCAGGACCCGGCGACGGCAGGAGTCGGGTGGCGGCCACTGACAGCGAAAGTGAAACAAAGCTGGGCGCCGGCGCGCACCCCGCCGCCCGGCCCCGCGCGCGCCGCCCCGGCCCCGCGCCCTCGCGCGCCCGCCTGCCGCCAAGCCGCCGCGGGGTCCCCGCCC